AATATTCAATGTTTGCTGAAGTGAACACCAGCAAAGGACCTTCTGTGCTCAAGTCATCCAAGTAAAGGAGAAAGGATGCCCCAGAAATAATGATATAGAAGTTCCAGGATTTGGAGTATGCACACTTGATGTTGTTGAGTTGGAGTTACCTTCTATATGTGGTACAGGAGTTCCCCTATCCCAAAACAGATAGCATCATGGATTTGATTAGAAGGGTATATAAGGGATATTGCAGTTTTAAAAGGTATAATTTTTACAATCAGTGTTAACATTTTTTAATGCTAAAACTGTTCAATGCATTGCTTACAATGTGATTGGTCATCAAGGGACTATCTCAAAGTTTGGGCCACTACATGAAACATTTTGCAGGCAAAACTATTATGAGATTTGCTGAACATTTTAATGTTAGTCCTATAATAACTTGTTCATGGATTTGCTTGCTTTGAGCTGGGATGTTTTTCTATTTTTGTAACTTGTATTCCATTTGCTCAGTTCATATTTGGAGTTTATGGAGATTAATTCGCATATCTCTGAGTTCCTTCTCCCTCCATATGTTCCACTAATGGATTTATTTTGGTGTAGAGGAGCCCTTATGTTGGAGTATATTGACTGAAATAACCTTTTATTATTGAGATTGGCAATCAAGTACATCAAATCCTTGTGGATACCCAATTGCAAATGTTCATATGAGATTGGCAATCAAGTACATCAAATCCATCTTCATGGCTTCCTGCAGAATCAATCATTGGCTTAACAATGCCTGTTGTCATTTATGGTACAGTCTGATCAATGAAAACTTGATAACAGAGATGTGGACTAAATTTTGTGAATCAGAACAATCGAGAACAAGACAATCAGAACTATTTGTTCTTGAGTTTTAACTATTAAGATTCTCAAATCATAAGATCTTTGTACAAGTATTTTTGTTTGAGAGATTCTCAAACCATTACTATTCAGAGTTCTATCTATTTATTCTTGTGCCAGCTTAAATACCATTAATGTTCCCAACCCACCTTACACAGCCACAAAAGGTTGTCCAGCAATCAAATTGGGAGATGTGGAATCAAGTCCACCTCATTCTTCAATCTTTTCCAACTTCCATTAACTACCAATGCTTTGCACACTCAACTTTGATCCACTTTTAGCTGTGCTATCATCCTTATGGTGGAAATAGTGAAAGCAGAAGATGCCCCATTTGCATGCCACACAACAAAAATAAATGTAGAGAGTTCATTACACAATGATGCTTTCAACTTTGTCCTCATGCTCTGAAGTACACAGGATAGTATACATTATATACTAGTGGAAGAATAATTTTTCCCACAAAGTATCAGCTCATGTCAATGTCATGTTCCCCTTATATCCATGAAGCAATAAAATAGAACCTGATAAGTATGCTATGAGAAAAGAGAGAAAAAGATATGCTAATGCCAATATGCTTAAGGAATGACACCACCATGTTAAGCAACAGGGTGATCTGTAATGCATAATATGAGAAGACATTCTTATGGCTTAAGCTAGATTAGTCTCCTTTCTTTGGTGGGGAATGCAAATCCATGAAATCTATGTTAAACAAATCTGGGGGTACTTTTGCTCTCAAGAAACAAGTAATGCAACTACAAGTGCCCACTTCCATGGGGAGTCTTTGTCTTGCTTTTTTGACTGCCATCAACATAAAGTCCACCATTCGTTTGCTAGATATACCTAATCAGTAGGTGATAAAGCCTCTATCTATGTACTACTACTGCCCAACCCACCACTTTATAGCATTGTTTGAATGCTCACCAACCATATCTTGTTGCCCTGTCTCAATTGTTTAGTGGATAAGAGGGCAAAGTAGAATTTGGGGAAGAACAGTGGAAAGTTATTATGATGTACAGTAATTTCAGAGCAATTCATGCATAATAATTTAATAGAAATCATGTATTGGCAAAAATATATTGATAGTTCTTATCAGAATTAATTAGACTAATTAATCCAGAACCTGTGGATTTTAATGTTTTAGATACACTTGCATAAATCAACAAAAAATGACTCACATACACAAGCTTACTACTGGAAGTAGACTACTCACCCCAAAGTCCTTATGATATTGAAAGATGCAAGAGAAGCTCATGTCTTGTCCACTTCTATTTCCTAAGATTCTGAATCACATAAACATATGCCTGATTTATTCTAGGAAATTAGTATCAATCATGAATAGACTAATCTTCATGATTTAAACTTGACAAGTCATTTCTCTAATTTTATTAACAAGTATCTTTTAGATCATTCATAAGTCACAACTAATTGAGTTAGATAGATTAGCTAATGAAGAAGTTGTATGAGGCCACCCTTCTCAATAATTTTTCATCTGGTTAAACCAACTTAATTGGATTATCATAATCCTCCTTAACTCAAATATGTTTGTTGGGGTTAACCTACAACAATCAAATTAATCCTCTTTAGCTCTAAACTAAACCCTCGATTAATCAATCAGTACCCACCAAAACTAAACATCTCAAAAGAGAACACAAACTTCGAAGATACTGACGTATAGTTCTTCATCACACTTGCTATGGACCAACACTAACATATAAAGACCTTAATACCAAATTGAAGATTTGATGTTCATATATTGTGCAAGATCATGAGAAGCTTGATTTTGAAGGGTTAGGTAAGTATAGATTAGATATAATATCAGGTTGAGTATCCATGGATTTCATTTACGCTCGAACCCGATGAGCTATCTACATATCGAATTCCTAACACTGGTTTAAGCATATTTTGATCTCACTTTATGAATGACAAAGGATAGAATAACCCTAGTTTAAGTACGTCAAATCGATAGACTATTCAAACTTAGATCTAAATCTAATTATATGTTTAGCTTTGTTCAAACCTGAAACAAACCGTCTGTATTAATATATGAATTGTCCCTATTTCAAACAATTTAATCTGAGTCATTATATAAAAAAATTAATAAATATAATTTAGGATTCATGTTTGCTAGCCCTCTTATGAGTCCTTTGGTTATCACCCATAATTATCCTCCTCTTCTTTTATCATGTTCTCTCGTTCTTTCTTTTCCTTTCTTCTCTCTTATTTGGTTTAACCTTCTTTTTTTTTTTTCTTCTTTCTCTTTTTTCTTATTTTTTATTATTTGAAACATTGATACCCATCGATATATATCAATCCAGCTAGGGATTGATATAAATCCGATATGCAAACTGAAGAAATCTAACGGTTTATATATTATTTTTTTAATATTTTTTTTCAATAAAATCATGTATCTTCATACGATTGTGTTGTCTCACTTTGGAGAAAAAAAAACTATTTTATTTTCTTCTAAAATATGATAGTATAGATATAGATAAGCTTTTCCTTTTCTTCTAATGAGAAGTTCTCCATTCTCAAAGTGTTTCTTTTTTTCCATTGCATGTTAATTCCACCTCATTGCTTACACAGAAAAAGGATCAGTTGAGTACACCAACTAAACTCTTCTTGACATTCATTTCCTTCTACTTTGCTAATTGATCTAATCACCCAATTGGCTTAAGTCTACTTTTACATCAATATCCAACTTTAAAAGTTGCATTTCTAGACAACCATTTTAAGTTGTATCCTTACTCCATTGAAGTGGAGGTAGATTCAAGGATTGTGATCTGATGTTGATTATATATAAGGAACTTTAACATCTAATTGGTTGCACATAAAGTTAGAAAGTTACTAATTAATGGCTAATATACATACTTTGTAACCACTAGGCTTCAAAACACCTAATATAAACCAAGAATCTAATAAGAGGAGACTTGATAGTTATTTATCCCATTATGAAACTATTCTAATAGGCCTCTATAGATTTCAAACAAATAAAATTGTGTAATGTAACAAGAAATACATACTTAACCAGAGCTATTTATGCAAGATATAAATTGAATATATATATATATATATATATATATAATTATCAATTTTCTAGTAGATGTATTTTAATGGAAACTATTATATATTTAGTTATGGCTAAAAGTTTTCAAGAATTATTATTTTTGTTCTTGAAGAAATAAAATATACGACTTGCATCAAAATAATATTATTATATCTAGACAAACACTTTAAACATCGATATGATGATGTATTAAACTCGCTAAATGTTGAGGATTCGAAATCTCATCTGATATATTTTTTAAGATATTAGCTAGTTAGAGAAATGATAGATTTGATGTGATTTATTTGATTCAAAATGATAAAAATTGTAATGCTTAGCACTCAACAAGATTATATGAAAAAAAATAAGAATATTAGAGTCTATATATGTGTGTGTTTTATGAAGATTATAAAATTAAAGTATGAAATAAGCATTTAGGAAAATGTATAGTGGAGCAATTTCTAGGTCATTTGTAACTTAAAAACATTCAAATTTTGTGCTACAAGAAAATAGTATGAAGTTGTGCCCTCAAGATTTACTTTTTATATCTTCAAATTAAGCAAACTATTTATCTGTCTTAGACATATGTGCTAGACAAAAATAAGATGAGTAATTGCCTTCCACTCTTGAATGATTAGCAATTATATCTCAAATTGCACATTTTGTGGGAGTCATGCCCAAAAAATACCATGCAAAATTAAACAGTAAACATTAATGTTGGAAACTTTCCTTGTTATCATAATATACTTTTGGAGGATAATAAATTGTTATACCAAAGCTCCATAATTATATGCTTTTAGTTAGTTAATCATTCCATGACTACCTAAGTATTGGTTATTAGCATTGTTACCTCTGTAATCAATGTTAATATATGCCATAAATTTGACTTTCTTGTAATTTGCATAGGATGGCTTTTGACACCAAAAAATAAAAAGTGCATTGGACAGTGAGAGTCTCAATCCAATAAACATGATATAAACGTATCCATCTCTAGATTACACCACCAAGAGAATCCATGGAGAGAGAGAGAGAGAGAGAGAGAGAGAGAGATTAAAGATAATTTACATGATATTACTTTGACAAAGCAACCACCAAGCCGACCTACTCCACTGCCTGACCACTTCAATACAAGTCCACTACGACGTGAGGAGACAGCACTCTTTTCGATCCCTTCCTGCCAAATCCCTTCTCTTCCGGCACACGCAAACCCTTGCAGGCGAGCAGAGGCAGCATGGGCCTTCAACACGAGCCTCACAAGGCCGCTTCCAACGGCCCCGTGGTGAGGACGGAGAGAGTGGTGCGGTACAAGGAGTGCAGGAAGAACCACGCCGCCAGCGTCGGAGGCTACGCCGTCGACGGCTGTCGGGAGTTCATGGCGTCGGGAGAGGAGGGGACGAGCGACGCCCTCCGGTGCGCCGCCTGTGACTGCCACCGCAGCTTCCACAGGAGAGAGGTCGAGACCGTGGCTGCGGTCTGTGGATGCTCCTCCGACGAGCACTCCACTCCCCGGAGATGATGGCGCTCCAGTCTACTCCTAATACAGTATGGATCTTATTCACGTCATTTTGTTTGCGTTTGGGTTTGCAGATGGGTGGCTTGACCAAGAAATGCTGAAACTTAGTGCTTGATGATTTGCTCTTCTCTTTCTCTCACCTGTTGCTTTCTTTTTAGTGAGATGAGTTGATTGCCCGAAAGGATTGAGATGCGGTGCTAATGTACCATATGCTTGTTTTCTGGAACATATTGTTGACATAAAACTTGATTATATGGTTGTGTTTGTTTCTGCATACAGAATCATGATGATCATGTTGATGATTCAAGTGCATGGAGCTTAAGCTTCTATGTATCTTTCTGATGAAGAAATATGAAGCCAAAAAAAAAAATGACAGCAAATTTGGTTGGTCATTGTGAATACCACAAATTTATGCCAAAAGTTTTGGATTGTCTCTCTTAATCAATCTTAAGTGGAGAGACATTGAAACTATCTCAGAAATGTTAATTGGAGAGAGAGAGAGAGAGAGAATAAATTGTGCTATCATAAGAGTCATGAATAATTATATCTTAGGGAAAGATGAGCAATTGGGATGGACTCAACTAACAACAGCTGCATGTTTTTGTAGGTAGAATTCTGCTCAAGAAACAATAGGCCATGCAGAAAAAGTATGCATAATTCATAGGGAAAAGAATTGATTCCATGGAAAAAGGGAATTGATGGTTCAATAATTTTGTATCAATATGTTTATTAAAAATTTATATATTTCATTAGATCATAATTTTCATCATTTCTCCTCCTTGTTTTTCATTTCTCACCTTCTTTCTCTTCCTGTTCTACATTAGTTATAAAATAAAATCAATTTATAATAATTGATGATCTAAAATCTCATAAATTTTCAGTGTACTAACTACTTAAGTATAGCAATGGTGATAAATGATGTAGAAACATTTTATCCAAAGAAAAAAATCACAATTAAACTTTAGGACATAAAATCACATCTTTAATCAACAATTCAGTATTTCTGATCAGCCATTAATTTGATAAATATTCTATCCTGCTCATAGTAAATAATTATTACTAAAAGTTGGAAGGATTGTATCTTGTCACACTTCCATAGTTTTATATACAGTATGCCAAGTAGCTCCATCTTGTGCTGCACAAACATCACCAACTTATCCCAAGAAATGTGAGAATTGATATAGTTAAGCTGGAGCTTGTCCATTGTCCTCCCTTGTTTGCCCATCCTTACTGAGTTGCTAAACAAAAGACAATCACTCAGAATGCTCTTGATGTTCCAAGGAGAACAAAATCTTTTAGAGCTCTAATAGATAGAACACAATGTATTCCTTCCAAGATCGAATTTTAAATTCTTCTAGATCGAATCTAGAAACCTTTGAGACCACCATAGATAACAAGTTTAAATCCTTGCAAGATGGCTTTTCACTTGGCTCGAAGGACACTTTAAGCCTTAGCAGTGTAGCCATCTTTTAGAACTCTTCCATATTCTTGAGGAAGCATCGCATCCAAGCATGAGGAAAGTGGAGGGAGGACTAATGAATTAATCTAATCTTATTGGAACTTCCACTTCCCCATAAATAGCTCTTCACGATGTCTTCATGATCCACTGCACATATATGAATATACACCAAAATTTGATCTTGGAGTGTTGATGAGATTTTCCCTTAAACAATCCAATCTTTATGATAGATGAATAGAGATCGGTTAGTGTGATGTGACAATGAAATGAGGTTGTTTCTATTTCTTTAAAGAATTTCTATTCTTACATAGGAAAAGAATAGTGGGTGGTGCATAGGAGTTGGAACTCATTTTTCCTTGATTCATGAAAAGTTTTCAAATCATCATAAGTAGCAATATCCTTTGTTGTAAAATATGCTTGAGTGCATGATGTTCAATCACAAATCAGCATACAAATAAGTAAATATTCTCACTTTAGATTTCCTCCACAAATAGTAGCATGCTTTGCCACTAACTTCACTTTTTGATTCCCAATGTTTTTATAGATTCAAAGAACTCCTTGGGGTCATCCTTATACTTCAATATTTTTTTGGAATTCATAGCATCCTCTAGCATTATGTGGAGGAACCACTTCACTTGATGTATTAAAGTGAACATCATGCATATAATGGGTTATCAATTTAAATGTTCAAATAAAGTTAGATTTAGAATAAGAATATTGGATTATGTGATCATATTTAATTAAGTAAAATATATTATAAATTTTATTGGATTCTAATTATGATCATCGATCAACAAAAAGAAAATTATGATAGGATTTCTTATGACATGATGGAAGGGACACTCATAATTATCTTTTCTAGATCTTTTGTTCTTGCCTATATATATATAGGTAGAATGTTCTTTGGATCATGATTATAGAAATTTCTTCTTTATCTCTTGATAGATCTTTATTTCATGAATTATAGTGGCTCTGAAAATAGGAAGAGATGAGAGTTTAGCTTCTTTCTTCGATAGATTTGTGGAAGCATGTAAATCATGATGCATGACATCCGATATACCCTATTGATTATCATTTGAGGGTTGTGGTGATAAGATATATCAATCGAAAGAGTTGGGTTCGGCATGCGAATGGCGGACGACATGACACAAATAATCCCACAAGTAGCAGATGACACTATAGTGACTAAGAAAAAAAAAAGAGGAAAATGATTTTTTTTACATATTAAAAAACTATTTTACCATTCTAATTTGTGTTAATTACAATCGATATCGTTTTGATATTTTTACCCTTAAAAATTAGATATTTTCAATATATGTCCCAATATAATTATAATTTTGCCTTTCAAAAATTAAATATTATTAACTTTCAAAAATCAAATATTTTTTACTTACCTCCTTAAATATAAAATTGATCAATTTGACTCGCTTTACTCAAATATTTTGATCGGACTTAATCATTAATGTAATTTATATATATCTTAGATCTATATGCTCAAATCTATATCTTATAAGTTATCAGTTTTGTATTTAGAATACTACGTACATATTAAAGTTATCCAAAAATAAAATTATAAGTTATCTACATGAGACGAAAGATTATATGCTCATAAATCAGATCAGCTTGGAATAATAATATATTTAGATACTAATTTTATAAATTATCTCAATAGAAGGAAGTCCACCTTTTGATTTATATATATATTAGCTAAAAGGAATAATTTATTATAATAATATGATATAAATTATATTATCTAATGATAGAAGTTGATTTCATGATATACTTCGACAACTTTTTGAGATTATATAATGCTTTGATAACTTTCTAATGATCATAGAGATCATATAATGCTTCGAGAACTTTTTAAGAATCACATATAGTTGATTTATAAGTAGATTCATGTTCCATGAATAATGGTTCCAAAAATAAGAAGAGAAGACACGTATGTACGTAGATATGTATGTTTTATCTTAGATCTACTATGCTTGATTTTAATTTTGATATTAAATTTTTATATAATGATTTTATTTTTTACCTAACCTATTTACAAGTGACAAGACATGAGTTTGGGTGAATAATAATAACTAGATGGAGAATGTAACAAAAGATAATCTCTAAATAAGACCCATGATTTTGATGTGAAATTTTTGATGTACTTACTAACACTTATTGCATGAATATGCCTATTTTCTACCATAATTTCATCATTTCATCTTGATGTTGCCGATCACATAAAGTATACATAATATATTGCAACGAAGACTTGTTCATCACTATTTATATAATTCAAGAATTTAACAGAAGACATGTCTATCAATGATTTTCTTTATAATTATTTACCTTTAAAATTGTCTAACAAAAACTAAATAGTTCTTTTATTGTGAATCCAACTTCCATTATGTAAGTCAAAATCAAATGTAAACATATATGAAGTCAAAGAAGGGTGACCAGATTTGAGAGGAATACATTAAACTCCTCTATGGATAAGCATAATTCATTATCATATCAGATAGATAGTTGAGGTTGATTTGGCTTTTTATTAGGAACATTGTGAACATGGAATCTGTTCATGTGGGTTTGTCTTTTGTGGAACTCTTGTCTCCAAAATTTTAATGATCAACAATATATATATATATATATATATATATATATATATATATATATATATATATATATATATATATATATTTTGTCATAATTGGATAATTAATTATTATATATAAATGTCATTTAATTTTTTATTTATAATTTTAAATATTTTTTTTAATTCTTCTTTTATCTCTTCTCATACCATATTGTATTATTGATTGGATTCTTCTTTTCTAATTATTATCAGAAAATTCATATTTATTTTACAATAATATAATAAAAATAAATATGTCCGGAATAAAGTTGTGAAAATTCGAAAAATGAATTGATAGGAGAATAAAGTGACACCCACCTAAAAAAGCGACATCTATCTTGAAAAGTGAAAAAGTGTTTGAGAGCGAAAGAAGTTGAGTATATATTTCTATTTTATTCATAGTTGAGATATTGGCAAAATCAATTTTAATTCACAAGTAAAAAATTGATGATCCGAAGTCCATCGATTAACTCTTTAATCTTGATTTTAATTGAGATATATGATTTAATTGATAAAACATTTTTTTTTCTTTCAGGATTTTGGATGTAAATCTTTGATTTCATTCGTTATAATTTTAGGATACATCGTTTACAATTAATGGGCGTGCTTCGTATTTGACCCCAAAGGGCGACATGGTGAGTTTGGACACGCGGAGCATGACCATTGGGTCAAATTTGCGACCTACTTTTGCGACTCGACTTCAATCCTGTGGGTTGGCCTTTTCGCCGTATCCCGTCCCGACGCAGTGCCTGGGTTGGATCTGTGTGTCCTGGCTAAGCCACCAACCACGAACCGATGTCTGACCACTCGCCAGCTTTATGGGTCCCACGCGAGAAGCCAGCCATTCAATTCGACGGCCCCCCCCGGCCCATGAGGTCAGCGTTTATGGGGTCCGCATCTGTCGACCGATGACGAGGCGCTCTTCCCCGTTCGGTGGCTCGGGTGAGATTGAGGCAGGTGAGCTGGGCTCCGGCCTCATCCTTATCCCTCTCCGCGATAACTTTTCGTACGCGTCTCTTTGATTGGATAGAATGCAGGAAAGAGCTGTGGG